ATTGATGTTTTGTATATGAGCAGTGTAAACATTGAGCAAAATTGGGGCTTTTTGAGATTTTGCTCAGTTCTAAAGATTTATATGGATGATATCAGAAAATAAAGCCTTCCAGGAATTGCTTGTTTGAAGGTATTTAAATATTCAGTAAAACCTGTTTATGGAGAAAACTTGACTTTTTCAAGTGGTTTATTTTTTGATGATTTTCAAATGTAGACCTATGTCCACAATAGCACACATTATTTTATTCTGAGTTTGAATTATTATTTCATATTCAGGAACTTCACTCACAAATCAAGTGTGCCTAATGGCACATTTACTATACAGTAGCTTGACTTCCTTGTAATGACCTCAGTAATATCCATATTGATCCTGCTAATGAAATATTAATGCTGTACTGTGGTGAGCACATCCCTCAGTTAGCAATAATGAAGTTATCTTTAAAAATAGTGAAGAAGTTTTAAATGATGATGCCAAGGCTTGGTGAGGATGTGGAGCAACAGATACTCCCACACTCTGTAGGTGGCAGAGCAACTGGTAGTGCCACTTTAAGAAGCAAATTGTCTTTAAAGAGTCAAGTTGAAAACTGAACTATGCACTTGCCCCAGCACACGGCCAGACTTATGCCCAGAGGATCTCTGCCTATGAGAACCCGGAGGTCTGTCTGACCACACGTGAGCAGCGTTGCTCTACCAACTCCACGCTGGGAACAATCTTGGTGCCCACTAACAGTGGAGTGGGGAAATAAGTAGTGCTTATTGGTGGTGGTACATGCTTGCGGTTCCAGCTACTCAGGAGGCTGAGGCAGGACGATTGCTTGAGCCAGGGAGTTTGAGGCTGCAGTGAGCTATGATTGCTCCCCTGCACTCAAGCCTGGTGATAGAACAAGACCCCATCTCTAAAAAAGAATATCCTTTAAATTGCAAATACACATCATAGGTAGCTGTTTACATATTCTATATTTCGTAATGAGAGAAAGAAAATTCTGATTTCAAAAATATAGGCTGCAATATTAACGCCAAGGTACTATTTTCTTTCTTTCTTTCTGTTTTCATTTTCTTTTTTTTTTTTTTTTTTGAAACAGAATCTCACTCTGTCACCCATGCTGGAGTGCAGTGGCTCAATCTCGGCTCACTGCAACCTCTGCCTCCCCAGTTCAATGATTCTTCTGCCTCAGCCTTCTGAGTGGCTGGGACTACAGGTGCACGCCACCACACCAGGCTAATATTTTATTTTTAGTAGAGGCGGGATTTTGCCATGTAGGCCAGGGTGGTCTCGAACTCCTGACCTCAGGTGATCTGCCCACCTTGGCCTCCCAAAGTGTTGGGATTACAGGCATGAGCCACCGCACTCAGCCTCCAAGGTTTTATTTTCTAGGACATGGAAAGCAGTGAAGAATGTAGACAAAGGTAATTCAGATTTCAGCATTCTTGACTCAAAAGTTCTCTTGCAATTTAAAATATTTAAGAAATTGGATTTAATTTGGGGTATTCTCTTTAAGGTGGAATACTCTTTCTTTTCTATGTGTAGAATTTAATGGAATTGGATTTCTCTTGTGATTTCAAATATTTAAGAGACTGTATTTAATGTGGGGTATTCTCTTTAAGGTGGAAAACTCTCTCTTTTCTGTGCGTATATTTTATTTTATTTATTTATTTATTTTGAGATGGAGTCTCACTCTCACCCAGGCTGGAGTGCAGGGGTGCTATCTCAGCTCACTGCAACTTCCGCCTCCCAGGTTCAAGCAATTCTCCTGCCTCAGCCTCCCAAGTAGCTGGGACCACCACACCCAGTTAATTTTTTGTATTTTTAGTAGAGACGGAGTTTCACCATGTTGGTCAGGCTGGTCTCAAACTCCTGAACTCAAATGATCCGCCCACCTCGGCCTCCCAAAGTGCTGGGATTACAGGCATGAGCCACTGTGCCAGGCCTATCTGTAGAATTTAATGGAATAATATCGCAAAACGCCTGGCTTATGCCTAGCACACAGTAGGGGTTCAACACAGATGATCGCCTTTCCTGTTTGTGAAGATAATATTAAGCCTATGTGTATATATGCAGGATGACTTATATGACTTGGAATATAACTCACAACTGACTTTTATATGTTACAAATTTGGTTCTGAAATCTCTGAGGTTCTTCATATTCTTTCCCATCACTTGTTACCTAAAAATAGCTGACACGTATTCGGGGTTCTCGCCCATAGACAGCGCTGTTATAAGTAGCTTGCATGGTTTATTCCTTTAAACCTTTACAAAACCCTGTGAACTACAGGTATTATAACTATCCTCAGTTGATAGAAGATGAAACAAGCACAGGAAAGTTATGGAATTGCTTTGAATACAGGTTGGCATGCTAGAGCCAGTGTCATCCTGCTTCCCCTAAGGTTTGATGATGGGTCCTCACCATGGGCCAGGCACCAAGCTGAGGTGTCACAGGCACCAGTGCATAGACATTTTCTCAACCAAAATGGGAATAATTACAAAACACACTTTGTAGGATGGTTAAGAACAATTTGACCCACACACTATATCCATATTATATTTATATAATAACTACCTTCAAACCTTGCTTTAAATCTCTATATGACAAAATATTTCCTTTGAAAAAAATAGCAATCTGAGAAGATAACTGATATGTTAAAACACACACACACACTCACACACACACACACAATTATGGATATTTGTAGCTTTAAAATCAGAAGTCCTGTGACTGATAGAACTCATTTAGTGCTATGCCATATCTTTGTGATTTTATTGAAACTTAGTAATATATTGTAAGCAATTATGTTGACGACATACATTGTTTCACCTGCTATTTTGCTTTAAGAAGGCAGAGGAAGATATAATTTAAAATTGCAGCTGGGCACCGTGGCTCACGCCTGTAATCCCAACACTTTGGGAGGCCAAGGCAGGCAGATCACTTGAGGTCAGGAGTTCGAGTCCAACCTGGCCAATATGGTGAGACTCTGTCTCTACTAAAAATATAAAAATTAGCCAGATGTGGTGCGCACTTATGATTCCAGCTAGTCAGGAGGCTGAGGCAGGAGAATTGCTTGAGTCCAGGAGGTGGAGGTTGCAGTGAGCCAAATTGTACCAGTGCACTTCAGTGTGGGTGACTTAGTGAGACTCTACCTCAAAAAAAAAATAAAAAATAAAAAATCCCTCACTATGTCATAATAGAATGGTAATTTTGGTCAAAATCATAGAAAGCACATTTTTTTTTTTCTGCCTTTCCAATATGGAGCCAAATACCTCAGCCTCTTAACATCTGCCTTCAAAAGGAAAAAGAACTTTTAAAATGCTTTTCCTGCCCTTTTTTTTTTAAATTTAAGATTCATTTTTATATTCTGGAAGATATGAAAACTCTACATTGGAAGATACAAAATCAAGTGGCATTTTGGAAGCAAAACCTCTCTTTCCTAACTATGTTCTTTGCTTCTAAGTCATGTAATTATTGATGGAGTCTTCATTAACTTTTCCACAACACTGTGTCACCCTGAAAGTTTTCCGGCGTGTTGTCTGAACAGAGTAGATCCTTTAAGGGTGAGGATCAGAGAAGTTCTAATGAGATATTAATATCCATTATGTTACAAATGGACTTACTAAAGGTCACCTTTGAATATCCAGTTTGCCAAATAAATATTCATGATTATTTTCTCAGAATACAATATGTGACATAAAACAAGACAGACGTGCAAACTCCCCATAAAACAGATAATGAAACTTTTATAGGCCACAATTGACAGTGAGAAGCTTCTGAAAATAGAAGACACAGTTTCCAAGTTGAGTTTGTGCTTTTCTTTATTTTCTTTTTCTGTGTAGAAAAATGTATAGCTTATCAAATTAGGCAAACTACATACCCTTTTCTATATATGTAATAGCATATGTCTATTATTTTTTATATTTCATAGACTCAGTGTAGAATAATTAGTATTCTTGAAAAAATACAGTAATTAAGCACACATTTATTAAGGGCTTTGCTTCAGAAATATTTTCTTTCACTCTGCCAAATGTCCCAAGCTTCAGGGTGAAATGATTGCTTTATAGATGAGTTGTAACTAACTTTCTGCAGAAAACAAGACTTTAAATGACTGATCATGATCATCACTATTTTGATCTAAAAATTGTTTCTACGGAAATGCAGCAAGATTGCAAAGGAATTAATGGCTTGATAGAACAACAAAATTATCTGATCATAAATGATGAAAAACAAGTTTTCTTCAATGTTGTCATTTATCATGCTGGTGCAATTTAAATAAAACAGATGACATTAAGGGAAAGAAACCCTGCTGAAGAGTGCCACTACTAAATGGAAAGGGTTCTAAACACCACTGCAATGTAATAGACTGCCTCTGCAGTGATTGCATCTGAATACACTTGTGGCAGCTCCTCTTATTCTCCTTCCAGGGTACAGATATTTTTTTTTTAAATGAAAAATGTTGTAAAAATTAAAGAAAAAAATCAAAAACATTCCCATAACCAAACTGAATTTGCCATGGGGGCGTGGGATAGGGCTTTATTTTGGCTTGTATTGAGTAATTCTATAAAGATCAAGGAACACTTTATATAAAAGCAGGAAGAACTAGATTCTGCTTTATTATTCATGGAATTTTGACTAATTGAGAACAATTCTTATTCATAATATATATGTACAATTTCACATTTACAGAAAATAAAGTAACCACGACTAAACAAAAGAACTTACTTAAATGCAGATGAATAGCAATTTAACAAAATAAATTAAATAATAATTGTGTATCAGCAGTAACTATTTGTATCTTGATTTAAGGAAAGAAAGCAAAACATTTTACATTATTTGAGGGCATTTTGCCTTTGCTTTAGTGGGTGTGTATTCATTACTCTCTACAAAGAGACTATGGGTTATAATGTAATTAATCGGCAGCAAAAACACAAATAGTAGGTTGTGAATAAAACATCTTAATGTTTATAAGAAATAATATACATCTCATACATTAGTACAATTTCTATTTTCACAGCTTATCTGGATGTCCTCTTAATGCACAAGCTATCAAAAAGGGCAAGGTTTCTGAAGAACTCATGACCATCAAGCTCAAAGCAACCGGGGGTAAGAGCGCAGGGCTGGCTGTCACCACCTCCTCCAGGGTGTAGACCCTGGCTCCCTAAAGGGTTTCGTGTGTCAAAGTATTCACTAGGTGGGAAGTGTAATTTTAATGTACAAGAAGAAAGGTTTCCTCAGATTTGAACTGAAATTATAACTTTGTTTAAAAACAATTTTTTGGTGTCTTTCTTATTTTTAAATAAGGAGTGATCTCCAACAGAGAAAGTCAAGCAGTGGGGTATGATGGGTTATTTTTAAATAAGGAGTGATCTCCAACAGAGGAAGTCAAGCAGTGGGATATGATGGGTTATTTTTAAATAAGGAGTGATCTCCAACAGAGAAAGTCAGGCAGTGGGGTATGATGGGTTAAGATACACTGGTGGTTGGCAGGGCATACTAGTTCATGCCCGTAATCCCAGCACTTTGGGAGGCCAAGTATGGAAGATTGCTTGAGGTCAAGAGTTTGTGACCAGCCTGGGCAACACAGCCAGACCGCATCTCTTTAAAAAAAAAAAAAAATTAGCCCAGTGTGGTGGTGCACACCTGTAGTCACAGTTACTCTGGAAGCTGAGATGGGAGGATTGTAGAGACCAGGAGCCCAGGATCGAGGCTGATGTAGTAAGATATGATAGTGCCACTGTACTCCAGCCTGGGCGACAGCAAGAGAACCTATCTCTAAACAAAACAACAGCAACAAAGATACACTAGTGGAAGTTGTGTCCTTCAGTCTCTCTCACATGTGTGTGTTCTCTCATGTGTGTTTGTGTGTACATGTGTGTGTGTATGTGCACATTTTTCTGGTATAAATCCACTATAAAAATTCAGGAAGCAATTTCTAGCATCTGTATTTGAATCCTTCAATTGTGTTCTTCTGTGCTCAACATGATATTTTTATAGAGATTCTGGAAGGTTTGGATTTAGCATCCAGATCTTTACCTAAGTCTACATTTCCCTAGATATTTCCTTAGTGTCAATCTGCTTTCCCAGTTCAGAGATACAGTTTCTGAGTTCTCTGTTTGGATCCTCCAATTTTCCTTTGATTCTTGAATGCATTTCTTGAGATTTCTAATCAGCATTATCTGGGGCCTGTGTTGTTTTCCATCAAAGATCATTCCAAAGCGTTTGAGAAACAATGGCAGAGCAATTATTTTGCTCTGGAGACTTTATTTGATGGCATCTTTGGCACATGACTCGAATCGAGCTGGGGACTTTCACTGTTGTTACTTTCCCTGAAGCTCAATCTTTTTAACTTGTGTGTGTGATTTTTAAAAAGAAGATATGCGGTATCCAAGGGGGGGAAAGCACTCGAGCTTCCTACTGTTTCCCTCCGAGGCCTTCATCTGCTTTATTTAAAGCGGTCCTTGGCGGGGGTGGTCTCTCTCCCTGGGTCCTCACCGCTAAGCGCCGAAGGAGAGGAGTGTACACGCAGAGGAGGAATAAAGCCCCGGCTGCCTCCTCCCGTCTTTCCAACATTCACATGCTCAGTAAAAGAGCTTTTCCCTAGATGTTCTGACTCCTCCTTGGAAATACTCCCCATTCCCTAAATACCTCTAAGTACATATGCAGTGACATTGGGACAATTTAATGTGTATTTATTTATTGTCCCATTTCAAATAGTATTTAAAGGATAAGGACTGCAAAGCTACATGAACTTTTTTTTAAATGCTGGTTAAAAATTTAATTCGGCCAGGTGCAGTGGCTCACACCTGTAATCCCAGCACTTTGGGAGGCCGAGGTGGGCCGATCACAAGGTCAGGAGATCAAGACCATACTAGCCAACATGGGGAAACCCTATCTCTACTAAAAATACAAAAAAAATATTATCCGGGTGTGGCGGCACACACCTGTAGTCCCAGCTACTCGGGAGGCTGAGGCAGGAAATTGCTTGAACGCTGGAGGCAGAGGTTGCAGTGAGCCAAGAAAGCACCACTGCACTCCAGCCTGGGCAACAGAGTGAGACTCTGTCTCAAAACAAAACAAAACAAAAAATTAATTCAAAAATGAGACAAAGGAAAGTTGAAGATAAGAATGCAAGACGGAGCAAGGCTGAGGACACTAAGACGTGTGTGAAGAGTCATTTCTCGCTGGGTAAATAAGGATCGCAAATTTGACCTTGCCTTTTAGAAACCAACAACAGAAGAAAGCTATAATCGCCATGTGGATCACGTGGTAGTAAGTAAATTCAGAGCAAAACTCCTTTTGGAACCCAGTGCATGAAGAAAATATTTCCTATGCGTTCTCATTAGGAGAACACCAATACCATCCATACTCTAAACAGAATATAAATTACAAGGCCACTCCTAACAAATATAAAAACAAAACAGTCCTCTGGCGTCATTACATCAAATTGTGATGGAGCTTTGCAGGGGGCCAGCAGCAGGTGGTCTGTCGGAACCCACAACAGACTTGCACAGAGACCCAGGAGCAGCAGGGCTGAGCACATACACTTCAAAGGGTCTCTGTATGTCTAGCATCTTCAGCTGAGCTTTCAAAGAATATAGAGCAGCAGCGAGCTGGATTGAACCCATTGACAAGTGTCAGGGTGCAGTCATTCTATGTGGACAGGTAACTAACTGGAAAAGTACACGTTTTACAATCTGAGAAAGTAGAGGCTGATGCTCTGTAAAGCTTAAGAACTTACCATGACTTTGCAGGAGAAAAAGCCCACCTGAATTCAGGTCAGTGGTTCGTTGAAGGTCAAGAAGGACCTAAAGTGATTTGGGGGTCTTCTCTAACAATGCTGTGTCTCATGATCCCTTACCTTAAAGTGAGGCCACAATGACTGTTCTCTGGATGATCTTTAAAGTAGATGTAAACGAACACACCTTCAGACATTAAAAATATCAAATCAAATTGCAATGAAATATAAAGTGCATATGGCTTTAACTTTAGCATACTATATTAATTTAAACTAGGTACAAATCATTCATGCAATTAGTTGAATTAGGTAATATTTTAGGGGAATATTATGCACAAGCCAGTTTAAACATGGAGGGTCTATATCAAAAAATGTGTGCATTAATTTTAGAATAATTGATCCTTAGTTCTCCATCCTTGCCATAATTAAATTGCCACATTAATTTTTAAAGACCTTTATTAGTCCTTGATAATAAAATTAGGCCATCTGTATAAGAAAGAATGCCAGTCCTTCTGTGCTTTGTAGAAACAAGCAGAAGTTGTGATAATTGGTCTATGTATATGGTCTTGCACTTAGGAGCTCCTTCTAGCTCTTCTCATGTGACAAAATAGTGTGTCCTAAACATTGTTATGTATCATTTCTTTCTGGATATTAACTCTCTTCACTCCTTTAGTAACTAAATAGCCAAATTTACATTAGTTCATTTTCCCATAAATTAAAAAAAAGTACAGTTTTGTGGTGTAAACACAATTTAAAAATCAAAGTTCAGCCGGGCGCGGTGGCTCACACCTGTAATCCCAGAACTTTGGGAGGCTGAGGAAGGTGGATCACAAGGTTAGGAGTTCAAAACCAGCCTGGACAAGATGGTAAAATCCCGTCTCTACTAAAAATACAGAAACAACAACAACAACAAAACAAACAAACAAACAAACAAAAAATTAGCCGGGCGCTGTGGCAGGCGCCTGTAATCCCAGCTACTCAGGAGGATGAGGTGGGAGAATCGCTTGAAGTCAGAGGGCAGAGATTGCAGTGAGCCGAGATCGAACCACTGCATTCCAGCTTGGGCAACAGAGTGAGAATCCATCTCAAAAAATAAAAAAATAAAAAATAAATAAAAGTTCACTCAAGAAACATAAGAGAATTTGTTTGAAATATGATAGAATTGCTTCATTTGTATAATATGAAAAAACGTAACTATAGGACTTAAAGCCTCTTATAAGTTGAGAATACCTGCTCTATGCAGGTATATACATAACTTGCATAATTTTACAGAATATAAAGAAAATATATGACATAATCCCCAAATATGCAAATTAGGCATAGATTAGTACCAACTAAACATTAGAATTATTAAATGAAAAGAAAGCATAATCTCTTGCTTTTACATAGTTGAATTATATAAAGAATCAAAGTCGCTGAAGAGTAAGTAAAATATTTAGCGGAGGCTAGGCGCAGTGGCTCACGCCTGTAATCCCAGCACTTTGGGAGGCAAGGTGGGTGAATCACAAGGTCAAGAGATGGAGAACATCCTGGCCAACGTGATGAAACTCTGTCTTTACTAAAAATAAAAACATCAACTGGGCATGGTGGCGCACGCCTGTAGTTCCAGCTACTCAGGAGGCTGAGGCAGGAGAATTGCTTGAACCTGGGAGGCAGAGGTTGCAGTGAGCCAAGATCATGCTACTGCACTCCAGCCTGGCGACAGAGTGAGACTCTGTCACAATAATAATAAAAATAATAATAATAATTTAGTGGATAGTTTATATGGTTTCCTTGATCATCAGCCATACCTAGCTAGTCCAACACCCTACTAGAAGTATATCTGTAAACATCAGGGCACACATTTTACTGATACTTCCAAAACAGATGAAACATCTATGAATAAAGATAGCATTTTCATGGTTAAAAGAACATATTCTGGAACCAGAGAGCTTATGTTTGAATCCCTGCTGTACCACTTACTTTGTACCTTGGTTTCCCATGCATACTTTGAGGTAATAAATGTTTCTATCTCATGGTTTTTAAATGAGGATCATATGAGTTAATATTCGGAAGTGCAGAGTGAAATCCGAAGGTTTTTAAAGACTGTGTGCATAGAGAGAAGTTTGACGGATAAGTGACTCAGTGGAAACAGATAAAGTGATATGTTAACAGGAAACATTATAAAGAAATTGGTTGCATTTATCCTGTGGCTAAAATAGCTCCCCAGATCCCAGAAATTATAATAAAAATATTAATTCCTTCATTGATTAATTCTATGAGCATGTATGGGGAGCCTGTTATGTATTAGATCCCATGACACTGTTTCTTTTTTGAGATCTCATCTTATGATCTTCCCTCACAAGCTCCAGGCATCTTCCAAATGGCCCCATTTTGATTATGAGTCTGGGGTGTCTTCAGGAACGTTGGCCCTCAGGGAAACATAATCCTAATATAGTCCCAGAACCAAGAACCCAGGCTGTCACTTAAATGGTCTTCTCACAAGCACTCATAACTTAGCCAAAATTGAACTTTTATTTATCCTACTGCAAGTTTCAGCCCCCCAGTCAGCCTCATCACAGAGACAGCTCTACAGTTGCCCACCTACTCTGGCAGAAGCAAGCAGTCGGGGTCGATTCCTCTCTTCTCTTGCCCCCTACCTCCAGCCCTCACAAGTCCTGCAAATTCTGCCTACAGATTAGGTCCTGAGTCTGTCTCCTTCTCTTGGCCTCACTTCCCTACACCCAGCCAGGACTCCAGCAATCATCTCCCCATGGGTCTTCAGGCTTCTGCTCTGTCTCTTCTCCAATCTATCCTCTACTCAAAACTCCAAATTACATTTGTGAAAAGTCAACTAGATCATCCCGGATCCCCTACCTAAAAGTCTTCCCTGGCTCCTGTTGCACTTGGAATAAACCTAAGCTCCCAGGATGTCCCCATGGCCTGCTCCCACCATTCACTGTCTTGCTGTCCATGGGGCACCCACTCCCTTCCCAATCTGGACTCTGGACTTCCTCCCTCCTCTTGGATGCTCAACTCCTGGCTGGTTTTTCACAGGCCTGCCTCCTTCTGATCTTGAAAGTCTTGAAAGGAGTGCATCTTCTCCAGTGAAGAGACCCCCGCACCCTCTGTGCTTCCTTCAGAGCACTTCATGTTTTACAAGCATCTCCTTGGTTTTTGTCTGCCTTACCAGATATTATGTAAGAAAATAGCATTGTTTGAGGTGGAATTTTACTGTAAAAAGGCAGAAAAGAAAAACAATATGTCAAAGAAATTTATAGCAATAGAAGTTTTCAATTGCTCAAATCAGAAAAGTTTCAAGTGCTGATAGCACTCCAAATACCTGTTTCATTGAGAATCCAGATATTTTAGTCCTTTCTTCCCCAGCTCTTACCCATCAATTGTCTGAGAGGAGATTCCTGCACCAGTGCACCAACCAGTAAAATATGGTGCTCCAAGATGCAGTGCAATTCTCCAGACACAGCCGGACAGTGCAGAATGAATCCTGAGTCCCAGATACTGTAGTTCCATGAGTATGGTCCTGGGTAACTGTTGGTTGTTTTCTTAGTAGCCATGTCATACTGTTGACTCATATTCAGACCGGTCTAGCTACTAAGATACCTAAGTCTTATATGTTGGTTTGTTTTCCTTTTTTCATTAAATCTTAGAGCCCAGAATTATATCAATCTTATGACACACTCTCTTCGTTGGTCCATGCATGGCTCACTTTATCAAGTAGTTACTTTTAATAAAGCAGTAAGTACCCACAGAATAGCCATCTGTTTTATCATGCTGTATGTGACGTAACTTTCGGCTTACTTTTTTTCTCTTCCCACTAAATTACTAAGAGTCACCCATGTTGTTCTTGGTGGGCATGTGGCTTCCTTTCAAGTTGTGCTTTTGGCGAGCAATACTGCTGTGTACACCTTATGCATGCTTCCTGTGTACAACGATTTGTTTTGGGTGTGTACCTAAGGAAGAAATTGGAGGGTCATAGAGAATGTGAGCATCCACCTTCAGGAGGTAATGGATTATTTCCCAAAGTAGTCACCCTAGCAAAGTATAAGAGCCCAGATCTCTTTCAAACCAAGTGTCAGGCCAAGTACCCTTTATCCTGCTCTCATGAAATTGCTCCTATGAAGTCTCACTGTGGAAGTTCACATGTCCTTCTTCATTGTCACTCTGGTTCAGACTCATTCTTCTAGGAGATAAAATTACCTCCAATCCTGCTTCTCGCATCCTTAATATTAACTACCTTCCCCAGTCCTTGAAACCTTTCAAATGTAGTCATACTCCTTCTACAAAGTAATCATGGGAAATAACCACCATTCATTGAGAGCCTGTGGCATGTTTAGCACTCTACATTTTATTGCATTCATTCTCACAGTGTAGATATCATGCCTATTTTACAGAAGAAGAAACTGAAGCACAAAGAAGATAAGTAAGTTGCCCATGTTCAAGAACAGAATTCAAACTCCCAAGCTGATGTCCTTCCCCCTAAATTACATTTTTCTCATCCATGTCCATGTGGAAGACTCTGCCAATGTGTCTCTGGACTCTAATTCACCTGCCAGCAGCCCCGCAGCTCTGCCTCCAGTCATGGTTCCTAAGGCCTAATTCAACTAAACAGATATTTAATTACTCAGCATAAAACTGTCCTTGCAGCATTTTGAATAAGGGAATGCAAGGCCTTTGAGGTTTAATCCCAGCTCTGCCTCTTAATTTGAACTTGGGCAGGTTATTTAACTTCTATCAGTGATTCCTGAGGTCTCACTTAACCTCTCTGGGCTCGGTGTCTTCATATGTGAGGAGGGTATAATGGAGCGAGTCCCGCTGTAGGGTGCGGTGAGATGTAATTGAAGACACATATACAAACACGCCTGGCAGCACCCCGGGACATAACTGAGCTACATGCAACGGTGGCACTTTTCTACTCTCTCTTTTCTTTCTTACCAAGAAATTAAATCTGCAATTTCTCTTATCCACTTTTTCAGAATCCTGGATATGCATTGTTTTGGTAAAAACACTTCAAATGGAAGTCTCATTTTCAAGTAGCAAATCACAAATTAAACATATGATTCAATTGTTAACAGTTTTCAGTTCGAACTAAGGTAGTCTTACTCTTTACAGGAATAGAGAGTGATGAAGAAATTAGGCATTTGGATGAAGAAATAAAGGAACTGAATGAATCCAACCTTAAAATTGAAGCAGATATGATGAAACTTCAGACTCAGGTAAAAAAAAAAAAAGTAATTCATGATCCTTAATCTTTGGTGGAAACAAAACATTGAACTTTTTAAAGCTTGTGTGAAAATATATGATATCTTAGAGTCAATATGCTGAGTGTTTCTAGATTCCATAATTATTGTAAAATTCTGAATAGCTGGATTACCCCAGGTTACCATTGATTCAGTAGCTGTGGGCAAGCTGTCTCCTGTTTTTGTCCTGGTAGCATCAAAGGTTTCATAAGCAAACAAGGCAGATTATCCTATAATCAAACAGTCTGGTGGAGTACGTAGTGCATTAGAAAAAAAATGTGATGAAAAGGTAAGAATCCTTGGTTTCATTCAAAATTCAAGTAAAATATAGCAACTTTTTCATTTAATGTTTTTGGAACACCTCTGAATGTCTAAGTATTTATTAGAAACAGATCTTACTGAACATTTTCTTGAGCAAATTCTTTACCTAAAAACCCAAGTAATTTCTCAATTCTGCATTCTTCTTTATGATGTCTGCCTCATCCCATGGAAATTAACAGTTCAGTTCAAGATTTTTAAAACACAAATCATAACTCTCTTGCAACAAGTTAGCAGCAAAAGAATGAGACAGAGAATAGGACTGAGTATCTTTCTCCCTTTCCCTGCAGGGGATTTTTATACCACCATAGTTACTGGATCTCTTGGAAGTCCTCACACAACAGCTTAAGACAAAGGGTTTTAATCCATCTGAAATTTTGGTTTCCTTACCCAGAGTGACTATTGTTGCCATCATCAATTAATGGCCATCTGGTCCACAGATTGACACTTTTGTCTAGAAATCATGGGAATTCCTCTAGAAAATCATTAGCAAAGAACACAAAGGCCTCTGCCCTCTTGAGACTTATCGTCTAGAAGGAGGAAGCGACACTAAACAAAAAAGTCATAAATGATCAATTATGTTGTATGCTAGAATGGCAGGGGGCTGGGTGAGTGCCTGTATTTCAATACTTAATGGGACCACCAGCCCCCAGGGAGAAGAAAGGCATCCGCAAAGACTTGAGGAATGAGGGAGTTGGCCAAACAGGTATGGAGAAAGAGTGTTTCAGACAGAAGAAACCCCGCAAGCACAAAAGCACTCATCATGAGAAGGTCTGGGGATTTGAGAAATAGCAAAGAGAAATGTGGTCGCAGGTGGGTGAGCTGGGTGGGGCAGGTCACAGGAGAACAGTCTCAGATGCAACAGGGCAGCTCACATGGGGCATCTTAGTCCATTTCAAAGACCTTGGTTTTTATTCTGAATGTATGCAGAACTGTAACACAGTTTTGACCCAACGAGTTACTTCATCCTCTCTGATTGACATGCTGACTTGCATTTTAAGAGGCTCATCTTGGTGGCTGTGTTGAGGAAAGGCTGAGAATAGATTAGATGGGGTAATGGCAGACACAGGGCCACCCACGAGAAGGCAGCACAGTCACACTGGTGGCTTGGCCCAGGGGGCAGCAGTGTGGAGGGGACAGTGGTCTCATCCTGGATATTTTGAAGGAGGCGCCAGTGGAGGATAGGTATGAAAGAAAGAGTCATGGGGGATCTGCACTTAAGCTGAGTTGCTGCTGGCTGGAAAAGGGAGACAGCAGATGGAGCAGGTTTGGGGAAAATAGCAAAGTTTGCTTTAAGCATGTTGAGTTTGAGATATCCATCATACAGCCACGTGGAGAAGTTCCACAATTCCTGAGGAAGTCTGGGCTGAAGATGAAAATTTGGAGATGTGATTCCAGCACTGCAAACAATCCAATGGGGCTGCAGCTTCATGCTGAGAAGTTGCATGCATGCATCTCTTAGTGTTCAGATTCACTTGGTGCGTTTTCTTTCAGGGAGAAAACTTTTGTGATCCTTCCAAACTCCACTACTCACATTCCCAAGTTATTTCTGTTGTAGATCACGTCTATGGAGAGCAACTTAAAGACGATAGAGGAGGAGAACAAACTCATAGAACAGAACAATGAAAGTCTGCTAAAAGAGCTGGCGGGTCTGAGCCAAGCTCTCATTTCAAGCCTTGCTGACATCCAGCTTCCACAGATGGTAAGTTCAAGGCCAGATCCTTGCTGTTCCATTACAAGCATTTGCAGTGTCATCATGCATTTACCGACAGGGTTGCCATGACTGAGCTTTGAGCTTTGAGGAGACCTGTGAGCAGTCACAGAGTGACCACACTTCATCACAGTCTGGTTTGGAGTAATCTCCCTCTCTGGGAACGTGGTAGATACATTTATTTAAATTATATTAAGGCCAAGAATTTTTTTAGAGGCCAAAGTCATTTAAAAACAAAGGATTTTTTTGAAGCTTGGTTCATAGTGTCATGTGAAAGTTGAATGGGCAAAACTCCCTCAGTGAAAATGTTATTTCCAAGTAGAAGATTCCATGTCTTATAAAATCTGAGACCATTATTTGCATCATCCACCCAACTCAAGAACTGTAATCAAAGATGTTCAATTCCCAATGGACTAGGTGCTTTCTTCATATGGAAGTATGAAGAACCTACTTCAGTTCTCCTCATATAAAATAAAAAGCAAAAAAAAAAAAAATGAGCAAGGAATCCTCATTTTCAAAATCGAAGCATGTCTTTCAGGTATGCAACTATAGACCTCCAACACTTAATAATGGGCACACATTCCAAGAAATGTGTCCCTTAGGCAATTTTGGCACTGTGTGAACATCATACAGTGAACTTCTGCAAACCCAGATGACAGACCCTACTTTACTTACTGCACACCCAGGCTATATGGTACAGCCTACTGCTCTGAGGTTACCCACCGGAGCAGCATGTTAGTGTACTGAATATTTTAGACAATTACTAGTATTTCTGTATCTAAACATGGAAAAACATATCTAAACCATAAAAATATGCTGTTGTTATCTTATGGGACTACCATCATATATTCAGTCTATCATTGACTGAGATGTTGTTATACATTGCATGACTGTATTTGGAATTCATAGAAAATTAGCCTCTTTTACATATTCTTAAATACAGACAAATATTTGGAGGAGAGTCTACATTGCTGAATGCTTTTAATCTCCTCAGAACCTAAATTTTTAGAATAATTTTTCCAAAGATGCCAATTTTATATATGAAATTATTTATGGAAGCAGCAATGTGATAAAGAAATATAATTGATTTTGGTTGAAACATTAAGCCCCTCAATTTTACCCA